GTTAAAAAGTTACAGGTGCTTAAGTTACGTGACTCATCGTGTATACAATGAAATTCTGTTATAAGTCACCTGAGAACACATTTTCGGCTTTTGAAAGAGGGAATTGCTACGTTCTTATACTACCTTCATATAAGATTATTTTCGACTTTTTTCGTTAATAACTATTGTCAAAAGTATTCCAGATATTGGCATTTACTTCTGTTTACGCGCCATCACAATTAAAATTTTTAAAAAATCTCGAAATAGGTTGTTGCCTTCCATGCAAACAAAGCTGTTAACTAGATCATTAATATCACACTGGAGAATCGTTAAATATCAAGTACACAATGCAAGAGGACAAACTGTATACCTGTGCGCCATTTAATATTGTGCAGTTTACAAGTTATCAAAGTTATAACTAGGGGCAGATTTTGATGACCTAAATCGCCAAAAATTATAAATAAAATACTCTATAAAATTTCTTAATGCCCTAAAAGCAAAGAAAAATTACTTAAAAAGTGATCAAAATCAGCTTGGATGGACATCTGAAGCTGTTGGATATGTGATACTGGTGTAATCTAGGTTTCTTCCATCCCTTCAAATGAACTCAGCTCGCTAACTTTTGGTTTGGACTATTCATCGTCTTTAGTTACCCCGAAAACGGCCGAACCGACAATGGTGCTGATTGGCGTCACAGGAACCTTAGATTACTTACAATGGCTGACAATACAATTTCTAAACGAAAAAATCGAATAGGCTACTTGGAAATTTTGTGGAGAACATTTGTTGCATCTCATAAATATTATTTGAAGCAAGTACCATTAAAATTGTATTAAAATCAATGAAATTAGCTAAAAACTCATTAAAAATAACTGAAAAAGGTAAAAAATGACTTACTCGAAATCGAAAACTGCAAAAAGGTCATTTTCTTTTCTTATAACATAAAATTAATGTCTATACTAAACAGCATTGTTCTAAAATGAAAAGTAAAAAAAAATACATTTCATTAAAATCTGTCCTCTTCTTGCCAGTTCCCACTGTCCTGCACACCAGAACCTAGTGAGGACATCAGCAGAAATAATCTCTCAATGGAAACAACTGCACAGATACAAAACAGAAACGGACAGTGGCAGCAGCTTTTTCATCTTTCATAGATGAGCAAGGTTACTGAAATGCCTTTTCCATGAAAGGTAATAGCTATTGCTGTGGGTGCTCGAGAGTAAAACCAAAAACTCACCTGTCTTGATGTATGAGAAATGTTCCTAATCAACTTCCGACTTTATACTTGGGAAGAAAAATTTCTCTGGTACCAATATTCTGGTTACTATAACATTTACGCACTGGATAATATTAACCTACGGTCAAATAATAATAATAATCTCATCAACATTCATGGAAATGAATTTGGATTTACTAAATTTTCAGTGTGGGCAGATATTGAAAGAAAATAAGCTGCCCCTATACATATGAGAGGGGTCTATGGTTTCACTACACGGAGAAACTCTCGAAGAAAAAACATGAAAGTTTCAATTTTGACTAAAAAATGCATATATTTCATTGTTATTCTTTAAATTCTAATACTGCAACAGCACGGCTTTACAGGAGAGGCTGCCCACCTTTGCTAATCACATGCTGCGATGTTGAACAAACGTTTTTTTTATATTATTGGTAAATAAAGAACTGTTGAATTGCATATACACTTTACGAAGGTTGCCTTTTATGTTTCGGGGTTTGGCAACCCTGGTGTTGCAATCTGGCAACTGACAGCTCTATCGTAAAGTTGGATGTTTTGAAATACGAGCGCTATTGGTGTTGTTTACAGTAACATAAAAGATTCATCTTGGCCCAAAAGTGGAATTAAATCGTGAACATTTTCGTGCGATTATTTTTTACAACTTTCGACGTGGATTAACTCAGCAACAGTGCATGGATGAACTTAATTCAATTTTTGGCGATGAAGCTCCATCAAGGACCAGTGTTTATCGATGGTGTGGTGAATTCAATCGTGGTCGTAGTTCACTCCAAGACGAATTTCGCGAAGGTCGTCCATAATCAGTTGTTGTTCCGAAAACCATTGATGCTGTGCGTTAACTGGTATTGCAAGATCGTCATGTGACCTATCGTGTGATTGAGACAACCTTATGCATTAGTGGGACCAGCATACATTCAATATTGCATGAACATTTGACTGTCAAACAAATTTGTTCGCGTTGGATCCCACACAATTTGTCAATCGCTCAAAAAAAAGGCTCGTGTCGATTGGTCGAAAGAAATGCTCAAAAAATACGATCGAGGTACTTCGAAACATCTATGTCATCGTGACAGGTGATGAATCGTGGATTTACGCGTATGAGTAAGTTAACAGCAGTCGATTGTATGGGTGTTTCAAGATGAGCAAAATCCAACAAAAGTTGTTCGCGCACGTAGCACTTCCAAACAGATGGTCGCCTGTTTTTTTCGATAAAAACTGGACATGTCGCAACCGTACCACTAGAACAACGCAGAACAGTCAATTCTTAGTGGTACACAATGATTTGTTTGCCAGCGGTCTTCCAAGATATCAGGAAAACCCACGAAGACGGGTAACTCTTCACAACAATGCGAGCTGTCACAAATCGCCTCAAACAACTGCATTTTGAGCATATAAAACATCGATTTGACGAGTCATCCGCCATATAGTCCTGACTTGGCACCGAATGACTTTTTATTCCCGTACGTAAAAAACAAACTGAGGTGTCAACGTTTTTAGACACCTGAAGAAGCGGCTGCTGCATTCAGAATGCATGTTTTGGAGATACCTCAATCAGAGTGGCAAAAGTGCTTTGACAATTGGTTCAAACGCATGCAAAAGTGTATTGATTTTCGATGATTAATATTTGTTTTTGTTCTCTAATCCTGAAATATAAAAGGCAACCCTCGTCCTATGTTATTGCAGGATTTGTGAAGACTTCGAGCATTTAATATATTGCAGTATTATACGAGTGTATTTTATTTGTTGTTCTTGAGCAGTGTGCGTTATTTTTTTAGAAAACCATTTTGTGTTGTGTGATTTAATTTGCAGCATTTTTGCTGCTGTTGGCCTCTAGTTTTTTGTAGTGATTTATTATTGTCTCCCATTACTTCACAGCTTGCATAACACTGTATACTTGTGTAATTTCTTTAAAAATGAGGGGGAGGGGATTCCAATAATAGGAGTTAAAAAAAAAGTTTTATTGGACTTGTAATAAAATAACAATGTTGTATTGATTCCGAATTTAAGTAATCAATGAAGGTCTTGTGTTCACATATTCCACGAAACCAGAAACGTTCATACAGCAAAGCTCATCGATTTAGCAATTTGTAATACCCCCAACAGCACATCTTGCAAATTCCATTAAATTCCTCCTGTCAAGGGCCACCTTATGAGCAAACCAGGCTAATATCTAACCTACAAAATTTACCTTAATGAATGTTATTTCATCAAGTTAAAAGTCATTTGTATGTACATGCCTAGGGAGACTGTCAAAGGTTTAATACAAGTTACTGAATAAAAATATTCACAGCACAGTTTTGAAAATAAAAATTACATAAATTCTGTACACATCCAAAGGAATGCACCACATGAGCATGTTTCATCATTAATATGGAACCATATTTCAGTTTTGTAAAATATGTCAGAAATAAAGAGTATAGTTGAATTGTAGTTCGCACACGTATTACTCTACAAAGGTAGATGTACTTAACCTCCATATATCATGATTTTAAGATAACACCTATTGGACAATGTAGTTTATAATACATGTATGCTACATTTAACAAGATACATAAATTTCCACTACACATTAGCACAATTGAAATGCTAGATAATATGCTATTAATTTAACTTGAAAACTTTACACCACCTAATGTAAACACAAAGGCACTTCCACCCAATGACACCCTAAAGAATTATCTTATCAACTTAAATCAAATCTTGGAAACTGAAATAAAGCATTTCTTTCTAACTCAACGGAAAAGCAACTCCACTGTTATCAGGAACCCGTTCAAAGGTAAATCAGGGAAATGAAAAACACTGGACTAAACTAATGAAAAAGGCTAGTAGGCACAGGAATTCAAAGAGGATAGTTTTCAAAACTGCAAAATTTGAAGTAACTTGTTTATTGTAAGATTCTGGAGACGGGCCTTCTTATGTATCAAAAAATTCACATGAGTCTAGACTGATTGTAATAGGATAAACAAAAATATCAGGTCTCACTTTTGGAACACAAAACTTACTGTATGTACATCATTATCAAACAAAATTGTACAAAAAAATCATCGTTGTGTGGTGTTCCACATTTTATTGCATAAACAAAAAATAAAAAAGAAAAAGAAAACAAAACAAGAGAAATTATCATAGGACTGGGGTCCTGTCTTCAGCAGAAGACATATGTACCCTTTAAGTATAGTATAACTGGTTTAAAACAACTAATTCAACAAGCTTTAGGATGACATCTTGAGCTTAAGAACTGTACAAAAGAACATAATTTTTTACCTTTCCAAGGGTTGCAAGGTAGTGTTATCCACATTACACTTGAACTCCATAACATACATATATATATATATTTATATAATCCCATCAAAGGCGGGTTCTCTGAAAACCTGCGCTCACATCACAGATTCATAATACATGATCCATACTTCTCACACAACCATAATTATTTCCCTTTAGCTTTCCAAAGGTTTTAGACATAACTTATTGAATATAAGCGCTACACATCCTAAATGAAAAGACATTTATGTATATATTAAACATAACACTTACTAGCAACAGGTTTTCACATTCTTTCACCCTGTGGACAAGTGTTTTAGTCTTAATTACATTCACACAACAGTGACAAACACTGTGAAATTAACAAAAAAGTTATTCATTCTGACTGCTTGCAGTCTCTTCTTTCATCATATTCCATTTAATCAAACAGAATGGAATGAGCATAAAAACCATTTTAAGTTTAAGTTCATCAGTACATATGGTTTACACTCCAAATTTACACAACCATTTTTCAAAACTGACAAAAAATAAAATTAAAAAAAAAAATGGTATTTTGTCTTAAAATAGTTATTTCGCACAAAAAAAATAGTGTCCCTGATAAGGGGGAGGGGCAGGGAATGGGAGGCAAGTTTTATATTTGGTAATCACATTATCATTCACGATCTTAGCCTATCTTACTATTGCAATATGCCCCAGTGCACACGCCATACATACATCCATAACTACAAAGAGAGGGGGAAAAAAAGAGAAAGAGAGAGATAGAGAGAAAAAAAAATTACAATTAAAACTTTCAGGTAAGAGAATTGTGTATAAAAGTTAATCAGCTTTTCAATATGACTTTGCAAAGAAGCACTCAGAAAAGCCCACATAGCACCTTAAAAGGGAGGAAAGTGGTCGATATTTTAAATAAATTCAAGTTTCCTCCCATTATCAGCAATGCAGTACAGTCACTGGAGACTGCAGCAGAACTATGGTTCGTAGATACATCCTCTGATGATAGTTCCACAAAAGGAGGCACATGAGGAAAGAATAAAAATTATACTCCTCTAGAAATAAATAAGTTAAAATGAATTGAGAAATATGAAGGGTATCACAAATATCTCTAATTCTGATACTACAGTAACGACTGTCGCAAAAAAATTAAAAAAATGCCTTGAGGTTTGAAGGTGCAAACCCCACATATGACTTGGCAAAACACATCTTATGAACCCTGAAATATTGAACATAACAATACATTTGGTAATGTGTAAATAAATAAGGGGATATTTTCAGCACTGATATGAAGAAAAGACATTGCCCTGCTATGAATACAATAAGCAGAAATGGATTCAGGAACTAACTTGCCAAGATAAAACTCCATGCACTAATGCAAAATGCTTTCCAGTGTATTTTTCAGCCAAATTATTTTTAATTGGAACTATATTTCATTCTCAAATTAATGGTCCCAACAATAAAACTGGTGATACTTCTAAATATTAACGGGATATTTACAATATACAATTCAAAATGTAGTAATTCACTTTCATGTGTTCACACATGTGTTTGCAGTGCAAACGGATGGGTAAATCGACCCTGAGTATTAACATTGTAGTTACAAGATGAGAGTTCAAAGAACTCTTAATAGGATCACCACACAATTATAGTTTGGGACACACTAAAGATTGAAATTTCACTTTTGGAGGTTAGACGTGGCAAGATAGTTTTTCTAAGTAAAATTGAACGTTCCAACTCTTTATGCAGAAAATACTAAGAGCTACATAACAGCATTTCTTGAGCATGGATACAATGATACACATGAAGAACCATAGCTCTGTTCATTACCATCTGACCCTCACCATCATAAAATTTTGCTGCAGAAGAATTGATCTACCACTCTCCTCCAAATGGCATCAGGTTTTACTGGTGATGATAAAGAGTGCAGTTTCTCCACTGAAAAGCATTTCTACTCCTTTACATAATCTTTCTTCTTCAGCCTTACTGATGGTGGTGATGTGAATGATGTGCTGATTGTGAGGTCGATGCATTGCTCACACTACTTCGTGAGCGAGCCTGATGGGACGGGTGGTGATGTGCATGATCGGACCTCCCAGACACCTGAAATATATAGAACGTTTTTGCATTACCAAAATAAATTAGGTATCAATAATAGTGATAAGCAAGGTCATTTGCAGATATTGCGCTAAAAAAAAGGTATTGATGTGCTTGTAAAATATGTTTTGAATCCATTAAGATTATTAAGTGTTCATTCCCAAACCAGCTAGACTATTTTATGCATTTAAGAACTGAATGAGGGTGGTGACAAAATTAGAGGAACCACCTCCCCTCACACACAAACAATGTCTTTCCCAGGTTTCTGTTGTAAATTTTTTTCTGTCTGACACTAATACAAAGAAATTTGGAAACAGGGACTTTTTTTATTCAAAATTTTTGAAAAGGAGTTTTTTTATTTCCCCAAATTATGACCGACGACATGAACACTGTACCTGGCAATTTCATTGGCTGTTTCCTTACAGTCAAATCAACCAATCATTGTCCTTGCTCTAAGTTGCTCTAAACCATTGAGAAGGGATATTTGTATTCTATGCTCTAAACCATCTACTTACTATATTTGTTTTTCTTTCTCTATGCCGGTATTTGATTTTTCTATTTTTGATACATAAAAATGAGAGAATAAACTCTGTTGTTCCTTCTTTATTTATAATCAATGAAAAAATAACGCTGATCTGGGTTTTAAAAAAAAAGTGTATGATGTTTACATTTTTTCAATGGTTTTTACAGGAATTGACCACGCTGAACTCTAAAATAATATTCATTTTCCCCAATCACGTCTACACCATTTCAAATTCAAAATGAGAACAAGCACTTTCAATTTCGGAACACTTTGATTAGAAACAAGTTCATTCAAATAGAGACATTGCCTTCAAATTAAGAATAAACGTTAATATTCAGATCCACAGCATTAAAATAAAGAAAAAAGGAAAAAAAAAAAAAAAAAAAAAAGCGAGAGGAAAGTGAATTAGGCATACATTTTATTGAAATGCATGAAACAGAAAAATAACTAATTAAATTATTTACACAATCATATCAATTAAATTTAAAATATCTGGTATGAATCTTAAAATATGAGCACAAATGAACTTTGCACAGTTATTGACATTTATTGTATTGATACAGTGATATTTTCTTCAAACTCGCAGAGCCGAAGTTCTGTTTGAGATATATTTGTTCTTTCTCCACCAGTTAATATATTTGGCAACTGCGAGGGCAGATCTTAACGGCAGATTTGAAACATGATCCGGTAGGTCCAATTGGAATGAACATAGGACTATAAGGGCTTAAACTCAAAAGGCGATGTTCTATAAATTCTTCCTACATAAATATTTCTTCAATGTAAAAGTATTCCAGTAAAAAGTATTGTGTATTGCCAGTACCACGGTCGTCTGGTAGATATTTTCAGCAGCGCGGACACTGACGAACAAAGTTTTTAGCATTTTCTTTCCTGAAAGCACTTCTTACTTCATGATGAATTAATCCAATATTACCTACGCAACAGATAACAGACCTTAGACCACGACTCCACGTTGCAATAAAACCATGAGTTCCTTTCCTAGAACTTCCTTTCTATCGCGAAATAAAAAAAAATAAATTATAGTTAATTTCGTTCCTGTACACAATAGGAACATTGTATACTTGGTTAACGTAATAGCTGCAGAGCATATTCGCGACGTTTTAATTTCATCGCTGTAAGTTTTCTCGAATTCTCTTCGAATAACCTTGAGTGTGGATAATAAACCATCTAATGATTCTTTAACATTATGTGGACACAGTTTCATGAATTTCTTGGGGTTCCTTTAGTGCAAGTCTAGATTATTCTCAATAATCAACGATTAATTCACAATGCTCTTCAGTCATTTTTACCTTTTTTCCTTCCACCCTATGGTTTGCTTTCGTTCTGGTTCTTCAATTTAAGCATTAGACTTTTTACTCTAAATCCATTCGCCAGATCTCTCCGATATTCGTCATTAAATAAAGTACATATTTGCTGTTTGATGCTTTCTGCCTATCTTTTTTTAAATATACATGAGAAAAACTGTCCTGAACAACTAAACAGAATTGTACTATGCACATAACCTGTTTCTTGAAGTTCTCTATTTGGCCGCTACAGGTACATAACGCTATTCTTCTTCCTGTTGGTGTTTTTTGTGAAGCGCAAGCATCTCGCCTTCCCGTTCCCATTAATGTGCGCGGGATATTGTGGAGCGGCCTGTACTCCCCAGATGCGAGTTTGATCTCATTCCAAAATCGAAGACGCCGCTACGTGGGAAGCGGTTTGCTAACAAGGAGAACATCCCAATAGCACATCGACGCATCACACACAGCTGCTGGTATTCAGCGCCTTCCTCATCGTTGGCAAATGTGTAGACACCTTGGAGGATTATTTAAAAGGTTGTTAGCACGTAAGAGTACGAATATTACGCGTACTGTTTTGTTTTGTGCATATTGTAACGGTACAAGCTCATGCGCTGAAAAATTTCCATAAAAAAAGGGGGGGGAAAGCGGGCGCCCGCGACACAGCTGCGAAAGGGGGTCGTAGGTACCCGCGCCCGTTCGGCTATTGAGGCGAGGGGTTGTGTGAGATTTTATGGCAGGACACCCCCGCGCGGTGCCGAAGGAGGGTCTGTCGGCAGGCGGGTCCTCGCCAAATGTCAAATGGGTGTCCCCTATTCACCCACGCGACCACTCGTAAAAGTCAACCTAATTGCGCCCTCTCGGGAGACAAATTTACGACCCAACGGTCAGCGGCGCACGTGCGGATGCGAAGTAAACAGGCCCGAAGTTTTTTTATAACAGCAACGGACATTCTGGCCGTTGAGAAAAGGGTTCCCATGTGATTGGTTAGACACACGCCTCCACCCTGCACCGCGAAATTCAACCCCGCGTATCGGGAGGATACACGCTGTTTGAGGGAGGGGCTGAAGAACACCAGAGCTTTGCTGTTACCAGGCCGCCGCTCTGCAGTCATTCGATTTCATAACTCGGCCACGAGTGGTCGTTTCGATTTGAGTTCGGCCACGAGCACTCGACTGGACTTGTTTTCTTGACTCTGTCACGAGTGGTCATTGGAGTTCTTAGCTCGGCCACGAGTAACCATTCGATTTCGTGACACGGCTACAACTAGTCACTTGATTTTTTTAAACTTGGCACCGAGTATTCACTTGAGTTCAGTAAGGCATTGACTTCACTTCGCTTGCTCACTTGACCTCAAGTAGCATTCGAAGCCTCTTGAGGAAGTTGACCCCTCGCGCACTCTGTCAGAAATTCTGGCCAAAAGGGATGCAGTCTCGCGCCTAAAGCCAACCGCGTTATGACAATCGTCCGCGACTGCTGATACGGAAGTTGATTGGCTTCCAATCAATCATCGCCGATGAACACCGTTGCTGCCTGAGGTTGGTGACGCTGGTTGAAGTAGTGGACCCCAGAAAACGCGGCGACGCCAGGCGGTCACGCTGGGAGCCC